AAATTTTAAGTAGGCAGGAGATGCCTTTTTAGTGTTGCACTTTCTGTTGTAGTTAAGAGAAAATATTATAAAATTATCTGCTGAATTTTTTGTACTTGTTAATGTCCATGCACAAACAACCCTGTCTCCAAAAACAGAATATATTTTTTCTACAGTATGGTGGAAAGCATTTGTGAGGTACTGTAGGCTAGAATTCAGCTTGTGAAAGATGGAAACTTCATTAAAACTTATGGACATGTCCCTTCACATGCAGAGCATAACATGGTAAATTATTTTGTCAGACTTTAGCCTTTAAGTCTTAAATTGCTTGTAAAGTTAGCGCCTGTGTTTTCTGAAAAATTCTACTTTCTGTTCTTGATTAACTATTCTGGTCTTGTAACTTCATTTACAGAAACAAGTTGATTCCTGAGAAATGAGAGCAGACAAATAAAGTTGACTGTATAGAAAATGTTGACTGTATAGCTTTTTGCTATGGTTAATTATTGACCACAACAGGCTCAGTATGAAAAGCCTGTCCGTAGCCTTCCTCTCATGGGCAACGTGACCTGATTTTGCTGTGTGATTCACTAGCACAGCAACAACAACTAACAATGTCCCTCATGGTTCTAATCTGTTTTTTGCAGTTCTTTTCTTTGAGGAGATTGTTGAATGCTGGTTCCCAGTGTTGGCAAGTTGGGGGGGGGGGTCAGATTTATTTTAGGGTCTCTGAGTGTTTGAATGCTGGCTAGAATGCATGGTCCCCGACTCACTGTCTTTTTCTGTTGATTCTACAGAACTCCCTCTTAAGGTTTTTCTAACTGAATAGCTGGCGGAAATGTTTGTAAGGTCTGTTAAAATGTTTCCTTTATTATTACACGTAGTTGCAGAGGGAGTGTTACAGCTCCGAGCAGACGTGGCTGTTTGCCTGTTCCAACGTGGACAGTGCAACCTCTGTTACGCCGATGATTTCACAAAACTTTCTCTTCAAAACTTTATTGCTTACAGCCCTGGGCTCGAGTTAAGCAAACAACTTGTGCTTTCATTGGGTGTTTTGTCTTTTGTTTGCTGCTTAATGACATTTCAGCCGGGGGATCTGTGCAGTGCAGCCAGCGATTCAGCAATGTGCTGTTGGGTCACAGAGAGCTCTGTGCCTGTGGCACTCTGGCACTTGGCACTGCTGAATCCAGAACCAGCCAGAGCCTGAGGAATTTAAGTGTTGTACTTGTAAGCTCCTGTCAAAGGATCTTCCCTCAGTAAAATCAGATACTAGCAAGTAATTGAACTGTTTCTCAAGATTTCTAATCTAAATGGACTCTTTAAGCTGTCTTGGCATTTGACTTTGCAGAGTGTCATGTCCTACTCATTTTTTGTTTGACTTCCTGAAATCTCCGTTTTCAGAGGCTGCAATTTGGGTTTGATCTCTGCTCAAAACCACTGTTTAAATGAAGGGCCTTAAATTATTGAAATTGTGAGAGGAAAAGCATTTTATATTCTCTTTAGGCATGTGTTCAGCTGAACCTGTATCAGATTTAAAATGGAATCATCTTGACACAAATGAGGCGACCCTCTCAAGTGTGTATTTCCCTGCTGGCAGAAATAGCCGTGGCACATTTAGAGGGAATTGGGGTTTTTTTAGGTACTAGAATTAATAATCTTCTGTCATACTGGATATCTTGATCTGTGTTGCCTCTTTAGCTGCTCTGATCTTTGAAAAATTTTTTTAATTTTTTTTTTTTTTAACTTTAGAAGGGCTTGCTTGTGTTTCTTAACTTCACTGTCATGAACTCATTTTTCTGAACTATAAGCAGTGTTTGATGTGGGGTAATTAATCTAAAATCCAATTGTCTGGTTGGCTACAGCTGAGCTTGATGATCTTGGTGTAGAAAAAGGTGGGGTGTCAGGTTGTAGAATCATAGAATTGTTTAGGTTGGAAAAGATCTCCAAGATTGAGTTCCACTGTTCTCCTGTCACTGCCAAATCCACCACTAAACCATGCCCCTTTGGACATGTCTTATGGACATTTGCCTCTTGCAAATGCCTCTTGCATTTTAAACATATCCAGTGTATATTGTCTTACACAGGAGTTTTAGCAAACTCACAGTCACCTAATAAAGGCTCAAAAACTAAACCTCTTTAAAGAGAAACAGATCCAAGAATATAAGATGTGGGGGTTTTAACCCTTAGTCTGGCATTCTTCCACCTTGTAGCAGATGCCCAGACTTGCAGGCTGTTTGCTACGTGGCGTTTGGCGTTTTCACCCCAAATTCCCCGTGGAAAAGGAGAACTTTGTAGCACCAACTTTCCTGTGAGAAGCTGCTTTGGACAAATTGGTGGCGCTGTGCTGAAGGAGGAGCTCCTGAAAGGCTGTATTTAATTCTGGCTCTTCTGTGAGTGCAGGGCTGACAGGTGCCCTGATCATGAGAAGTATATTAACTCAGTGTAGTTGAGGATGGGCTGAATGTGTGGGAATGGAGAGGGAAGTAGCTGTAGTTGTTCCTCCATATCAGGCACTGTTTGGTGCTTTGAATCAATTCAAAGCAACTGTCCTGGGACCTACCTACCTACCAGCCTCTCTCTGAAGGTCTGGTGAGCTGGTTCTGCTAGTGCTCGGTGAGGAATCGTGGTCTGTGGGATGGCACAGTTTGGAAGCACTTGAGCCCTATAGACCCTCCTGCAAGCAAGAAGAACGTGGGCTCCTCAAACACTTCATGCTGATGCTTTTTCTCCCCATTGCTCCCATGGCAAAGCTGCCTGCTGGTGCTGTTTTATCCTGCAAAATTCCCTTCTCTGTGTGCTGGGTCGAAACCTGCAGCCAGTTTAGAAGGCTGCAACCTTTTTGTAAGTTTATGTTTGCTTCAGGCTGAGCTGCTAAGGCTTACTGCAGACCTGGAAGTTCAAGTACACAAGTAAAAGAGTACCCTGGAGGATTTTCTATGTCTGTGCTTGTTGCCCAAGCAGGGAAGCTGTTACAGATGGTTGTATCTTGCACAGCTCTCCTGAGATCCGATCATGCTGCCATGAGGTCATTGTGTCAGCTCTGTCTTGGGAAGGAGGTGGGGGGCAAGGAGACTTGCATGAAGATGATCAGACTCTCCTGCCTCAAGCTTTCATCACGAAGGTGGTTCTCCCTGACTGGCACCAGGGTAAATGCAGTTGGCATCAGCTAGAGGTGAGTGTTCACCTTCCAAGCTGGCGTCATGAATGGCAGTGGGGTTCTTGACATCTCACATGTCCCTTTGTGAATTGTTTAATGCCCTGTTGTGAAACCAAGGTGGAGCCAGGAGGAATGAAAAGCCAACCACAATCTGTGCTTTCAACTGGAGCTGGAGCACAGGTTCAGCACTGCCCTTCCCATCCCCTCCTGTTTGTGTGCCCGGGCAGCAGTGTGCTCCTTGGTCTCCTGCCTCTGTTGGGATTGTATCCTGGTAACATCGCTCGTGGCGAGGTGCAGAAAACTCCCTGCAGTCCTTGGAGGGCTGTAGCTCTGGGAATGATGAACAAAACTCACCCCCAGGTACAGTCCTCCTTCAGAAAAACCTTATATGCAGCTGTTCCCTGGAGTACCTGTGTTCTTGATAGTGTTGTTTGCCTTGACCTCTTTATCGCTGCTTTTGTGAGATTTCAAGTAGTTTCTACTTAATTTGATACAAAAGAAAAGTGCAGATATAAAGCGCTGGACCTAGTTAGTGTTTGTTTTACAAATGCGTAATTAAGGTTTAAAAGGTGATCTGATTGATTGCTTTGGGAATTAAATCTGGGCTGTGTTTCCACCAAGGCAATTTTTGCTTGTACATGACAATAAAGGAGTACATTACGTGTTCCTGGGTAAGATGGTGTGAGAATTAGAAAGGCAAAGCTTGTGTGGCTGCTGTGTGCTGCTTGTGTAAACAGTCTTTTATCCCCTTCCTTCTAGAAAAATGGTCATGTAACTACTCATGGTTCAACAAAATCCTTCTCTGGAAAAAGAGGTAATTAATAAAATGCAGAGCTTAACTTTAATCATAAAGTATAAACCAATTGAATTGTAAAATACAACCAGTATTTATGGTTTCTTGGGACTGATTTTCCACCCTTTCTGTGTAGTAAAACTTCCATACTATAAAATTAATAAACTTTAGCTGTCCTGTGCTGTACTAGGAAAGGCTGTGCCTTCACTTGAGTTTAAATGACACAAACAACCAAGTAAATACAAAGCACAGCCAAGACAAATTCTAACTTAGAAGTTCTTTAAGTTTTTAAAAGTTGTGATTTTTTTTAAATTCTAGTTGAAGCTCTTTAAGTTCAGTTATACCCAAATCAATTATACAGGTGGGATTGTGTTCAGTGACTGGCTTTATGTTTCTGAGATGACCACATTAATGTTCTTTGCTGTTGGTCTGGAAATACAAAGGAATGCAGGAAAATACCGGGTTGGTTTGGAGGCAGAGCAGGTTGCTGAGGTGAGGGTGGGTGACTGGTGTCACTCTTACTTGTGCTGCTATTGTGTTGCAACACCTGTGGGTTTGGCCTTCAGCTTCTGCATTTGGTTTGATTTATGTATGTGACTTTCTGAAAGCTGGAGTCCCTCGAAGGTTGCTGTGCCCTGGAGATGTCTTTGGGGAGGGAAAGGGCAGCTCTTTGTCCCCTTCCCACTATTTTAAGCTGATAATCCAGCCTCATTCTGTGGGAGAAAGCCCAGGGCATTTGTTGGGGCAGAAAGCCCAAAGTGCTGTAAGATCAAGTTTTACCTCCTGAGCAGTTTTGCTGTGGGCTCTGGGAGGGCACCTTCCCCAGCCTTACAGTGACCTGCCCTGTGTTTCAGGGGCACTGCTGTCCCACAGGGTTGGGCAAGGACTTGTCTTTCTCCACCCTTGTTCATCTAAATCCCCTGGATGAGCTCCAATAGAGATGTGGTGTTTGCACCATTTGATCTCAGTGCTCTGTAACAGCAGCATGGGTTTTTCCCCACTGCAGGAAAATTCCCTGTGAGGAGGTGTTTAGTGTTGGAGTTCAGCTACTTAAGCTCAACTATCAACCTCTAAACCCCAGCAGCCCCCACTAGTCCCACAGCAGAGCCCCCTAAACATCAGCCTCGTGTCTCTGCGCTGTTCCCCTCCCAAACCCACTCTCAGCCCTGCTGGATCCTTTCCCAGCCCCTCACCTCTTGCTCTTGCCTCCCAACAGACCCCTGCCATCCATGTGGTGCCTGCCCTGGCTGCACACAGAGACGTGTCTGCATCTCTGTCGTGGCACTGCTCGTCGTCGTGGCTGCTGTGGGCTTGGGGGTGGCACTGGGACTCCTGCCACGGGCACCAGGTTGTATCCCAAGAGTCGTTATTTTCTTGGTAAGGGAGGCAGAAATGATGCTGCATGAGAACAGCCCTCATGTCCATCACCATGTGTGGCAGTGGTGCTTCCCAGCACAGACCGGGAGGAAGGAGAGGGATGAGCAGGGTGGTTCAGGGCTGTGTCAGCCTCGCACAGCCCCAGCAGCCACCAGACATTCCTCAGCTCCACTGTCCCACTCCATAGGGCTGGGATAACTGGGTGGCACCATCATCCTTCAGACTGTTAATTGGTACGGTTTTCACACTCTTCCGTGAACCTACCAGAGATTAATCCTGGCCCCTGGCTATTTCCAGAACACCAAATGAGTTTCAGAAATCCCCCTTTATTGCTCTTGATCTGTTCCTCATATCTTAAAAATGCTGTAAAGTAAAGGATTTCTTGCTTTCCCCTCAGTGAACCGCTCCTGCACAGCCCCCGGTAACCGGACAGGCTTCTTGTGCGATGACAGAGTGACCTGCATCCCGGCCAGCTGGGTCTGTGACAGAGTCAGCAACTGCAGGAATGGAGAGGATGAGCAGGAGAAGCTCTGTGGTGAGTGGTTTTGTTGTGACTATCCCCCCCTGCACTAGTCTTCCTGTTGTGAGACAGAGCAGCCAGTGTTCCTCTAATCCTGTTCTGTGCTTCTGAGCAGATAAGCCTGGTAGATCCTTTGTAGGGCAGATGCTGAGAGATGGCACTGCCCAAAACCCAGTGGGCGTGCCAGGAATCAAAGACTCCAAGCTCCTCTAATCTTCCTAGGATTTTTTTTTAAGCCATGATGCAGTTTTCTTCCACTGGTAAAGCTTTATGCCTACATGGGTAATTTATTGTCCTGTCACCCTGGGAAAAAATTGATTAAAGCAGAAGCCTGGGGCACTCAGACTCTGGGGCTCAGCCACAAGCATCCCTTCCCCTCTCCAACCACAGCTTCCCTATCTGTGGCATCGTTCATGTGCTGACACTGCACAGGGAAGGACTGACTGACCACCCATGACAGCAGCCTTTGGTGGCTGCCATCTCCCTTTTAGCCAGTGTCTGTGCCCAGTGGAGTTATGCATGTCCTTTGTGTCCACCCCTTCAGGTGACTTGCCCCACAGCCTCCCAGGATACCTGGTTTTCCTCTGCAGTAACCCCAGATCCTGGATCTATGCCGATCAGAGGTGTAATGGGATGAACGACTGTGGAGACTGCTCTGACGAGCTGGGGAGCTGTAAGTCTCTCTTCTTGGGCAACAGGTCTGTTCTGCTGATGGATTGCAGTAGGTTGTATAGGTGTGGTGCTCATGGATGCTGCTGGAAATGCCTGGAGGCTGGCATCCTCCACTAAAACACAAAATAGCTGGGGTAAGATGTGAGTGTGAACCAGGCAGCCTGCATCCCACCAGCTGCCAAGGGTTCTGTGTCAAAGCCTGGTGGCAGCTGAGATGGGAAAGGCTCCATGATTTGCTCCCAGACTCAAAAGTTACTCCTCCTCCATGGCTTGCTGGTGTGGAGGAGTTTCACTGTGATGCACAGGCAGGGACCATTCAAGCTGGCTTTTGGTAGTTGGTCAGGAGATGGGCACGTCTCTGAGCTGGGAAGGGCTGAGCCTCAGCAACTTCAAAGCTATCTAGATCCCCCTCTTGCTGAAATGAGCAGCAGGTTTGTTCCTAAGTCACCTCCTTGGTTTCGAACAACAACAAAAAAGAATTGCAGCTCATTGTTCCTCCCAGGATGGCCTGTGTGCCGGGAAGGTCATCACAATGTCACGCTCCATGGTTGTCTCCCACAGGTAGCACAAAGGTAGTGTCTTCTTTGGTGGGTTCACAGTCACAGGGTCATCGCCAGTGGCTTTTCTGCTGGGGAGTGAAAGGGTTTTACCTGTGTAAGAGAGGAGGGAAGGGTTCGGTGCAGCAGAAGCATTTCAGTTCCCTCTTTTCCATCCTTCCCAGTGGCCTCCTGTCCTCCATGCGGGTGGGAGTGGTGGAGCTGCATCCCTGTGCACTACGAGTACTGCTCTTGCATCCCCAGGAGGCTGTGCCGGGATGGCATCCAGCACTGCCTTGGCTGGTCAGACGAGTACGTGTGCAGGCCGTGAAGTCCTGGCACCCCTCAGTGCTGGAGACAGCAGGGTGCTTCCCACACCGTCACCTCTGAGCCTTGCTGTCCTCCTGCTCTGCCACCCACTTGGGAAGCTCCAATCCAAGCAAATCCTCAGGAGCAGTGCAGGGACACTGAACAGGGACCAGGGGCACGTGGCAGCCCATGCTGCAGGCTGGGTACTGACTGTGGGACACTTCCAAGGATTCTCCTGTCGTGTGAAGGTGAGCACTTCCTACATGGGCTTCTGCTGCCTTGCAGCTTTGACTCGATGCTGTGCAGCTTCTGGAGTCTTCATCGGCTGCTGCCGGCACAGACACGGTGTCTGGGCAGCCCTGGGCCAGGGCTTTCTCCTGTATGGACATGCTGGTGCCTCTGCAGGCGCAGGCAGGAGGAGAAGCTTCTATTTGCATTCAAAACACATCTGCAGATGTTTTCAGCAGTGGCTTTGAGGTCCGTGTGTTGATGCTCCTGGGACACTTCCTTGGGAATGCTGTGCTGAGGATGACACCCTGGGGAGCTGCTGCTCAGGCCGCCTCCTGCTCTGTTCTCAAACCATGAAAGCCAATGTGGAGAGCATAATGGCAGGGAAAATTGAGGTGAAGGGGTTTCAGGGTTTGTGGGGTCACTGTCCCTGTGACCACGTAGCTGTCCCTGCAAGCCAGGGCAGGGAACCAGCATGTAGATAAACTTTACTTCTCTCAGGGCTGTGCAGTTTTGGAGCAGCAGCCTTGGACTGTGAGAACAGCCACGGAGCTGGGATACGTTTCACCAAAACTGACAAAGAAAGGAGGAAAAAGAAGTCACAGCCTCCAAGCAGAGGGTGGCGGAAAACCAAGTGCTGTTCCCAGGGCGGTGTGGGACGATACCGGATCTGATTGCTGCTTGTTTTGTTCCTCTGCCAGCACAGCAGGATCAGGCAGCCAAGCCTTCAAGCAGTCCTCAGGATATAGGTATGGGCATGACACTGAAATTTAAGAAAGATGTGGTCTTCTCTGCTCCTTTGAAAATCTCATCTCTGTCTAAAACACAGTCTCTGAGAAAAACCCACATTTACAGTGAGTGCACTTACTTAAAATAAACATCAGGCGATCTTTTTCCCATCACCACCCCGGGTCATAGATATTTAAAAATAAAACCCTGTTCACTCATTTCCTCCCTGTCCTGTGATCTGCAACTCTGCATGTCACCATAACTGGGATCAATGGGGAAAGTTGCTTCTCGTTTGTCGCTGGGATACAGCTGGAGATCTGAGAGGTCTTTTGTAAACAGCTTTACAGTATTGTGACTCATACTTAACCTGGAATGAGATGGCAAAACTCTGCATGGGGAGATTTTAAAGCTGCATTTACTACCCTGTCCCTCTCCAGGCCTGGCCTGGGTGGATGGCTTGTTTTCTCTGTGCCTGTAAAATGTTCCCCCAGTGCATTCAGTGCTGTGGCTCCGAAGAGAGATTTGGAGCTTCCAGCCTCAATCAGAGCCTGCAGTGGGGGTGCCCATATTTACTGGAGAGTCACAAACACCTCAAGAAGGCTGGGTTGGGATTGGTAAACAAAGTTGGACTTACTGTAGTTGCTGTTGTTCCTTTTGTTACCCCAAAGTATGTTCTGAAGCAACCACTGGGGAAGCCTTGCAGCATCTCTTAAGGAGAGCTCAAGGAGGGGTGATTCAGAGGCAGCACTACAGGGACAGCCTCTTTTTCCCAGGGAAGAGAAGCTTCTTTCCCAGGAGGAAGAGAAAAATCTCATCCCTCATGATGGGAGCTGTATGTGGATAATAGAACAACTGTAGTTATTAAGGACTGAACTAACCAGCTGTTAAAAAAAATACAGGAACCCTTATGCTCAGCTGGTAAAAAAAATTGTGCCTCTCTCCATGGTCAGATTAGCAGATCTCCAGTGGTGAGAGGGCTGGCCAGAAATTCCATGGTGGCCATTGCACCAGAGGCAGCTTCAGGAGGAGAATTGCACTTGAGCATCACAGCCGTCTTCCTCCCTCCTGCTTTGAGTCACAGTCTGTGCCATTACTTGTCTCGGCAGAGCGCTGATGTAGCCGTCAGTGGGAGCTATAAATAGCCTTGAGTTTCTGGGAAGAAAAAAGTAGGGTTTGAATGCAAGTGTGCCTGTTTTGTTTGTGTGTTTAGTCCTTTTTTTGTATATAATCACTTTTTGAGGAAAATTCAGCAATAAGAACAAAGAGAGAAAGGGGTTTTGCTCTTTATGTATTTTTGAGGCGAAGTTCCTTTTCTTGGCCTCTTCATGATTTCCAAGGATGTGCTTTTTTGTTGTTATGGTAAAAAACAGTGTAAAAGTAAGATATCCTCTAATCACTAGTTGGAGTAAATACTTGATCTTGTAAGGCCTAAGAACACAAGGATGGTTGCAGTGCCCAACTCACAGGCACTGTGCATGTCATCCAGTTTTGATAGAAACACTCAGCACAGGAATTTAATGATAAACAGTTACCTGTGGCATTACAGCTGTACAGACCAACACAGAATGGGTCTAAGTAGCTAGGGGTTTTACAGCTAATATGTATAATTCATATCAGAATTATAAATGTCCCTAAATGTTTTCAGATGGAGAAGTATGGTTAGTGTATTGCAGGCACACTGCATGTGTTTTAAACCACAGAATGCTGTCAAATGTAGTGAATTCGGTTGTAAGAGAGAATATATTACAACTTCAAGGCCTAATCTCTACAGTTCCAGCTTTCATTTCCTGGGCTAAAGTGAGAAAGAAAGAGGACTTCTGTTCTGCTTTGGGCTTCTGCAGTAACTGTTATCAAGGGGTTACTGCCTCTGACCCCCCTGCAGAGGCCTGTGCTTACCCTCTCTGCTCCCTCCCTCTGTCACAGCTCCACCAGCACACCCTGGTGCTTTCAGGCTGAGGTTTCTGTTCTAGAAGCAGTATTAATTCCCCAGGGCTCTTGACAAGCATAGATGAGCTGCAGTGATCTGTCTCCTGTCCCCTGGGAGGCAGGAGAGGAGCAGGGATAGGACCAGCTGTTTCTGTGAATAATACCTATGCCAGAAGAATTGGTTAAAGATGACAACAAAACCTTTATTTGAAAAAATTATGTATTGAAAATATACAGTAGTATCACCAACCTTCTTGTCTCTACCCCTCCCCAAGCACAGGTTAACCCACAAGCATGGCACAGCAACCAGATCTAACAGTACTGGTCTTCTTTGTTACTCCCTCTCAATATGTCTAAATCCTGTCATCAGCAAGAAAACAACAAACAAAAGACCCCCTTCTCTCTGACTCAGTAGGTATTTAACAAATCCCAGTCCTCCACAGTGAGGCACAGATGCTTCTGTTTGGAAGTCCTTTCTCTCTCTTGTTCAGCCAAAGCTCTTTTTCTATTGTTCTTTAATTCGTGGCTTCCCGCAACCTCCTTTTTCAAAGGTAAATGGCAATTTGGAACTTTTTCCTTGTAAAACTGCAAGTTTCCCGATGCTTTTGTTTCTGCCTCCACCACTGTGCATTTGACTACTTCTTCTATTCTGCGTGTCTTGCCATCTACGAGGGAAAAAAACAAGTTTAGATTCTGGGGAAAAACAGAATTATGCTGTAAAATGCACATTTTGATGCAAATAGTTTTGGCCATACCAGCCTGGAATCCTGACTGCTGAAATGTGCAGAGGGAAAAATAACATTTATATTTTGGACTCAGGATTTTAAGGAGAAAACTCAGTTGTTATATGTTGCCCTAAGCGTGCTGCTATGCTGTACCTCAATTACCCAGCAGTCTAACAAATGAAAAAACTCAAGCAGGTTGTAGAAAAGGAAACAAATCCACTCTGTGATTCCCATGCAGTGACTTACAGAAGCGCAGAGCTGCTGTTCTGGATCTCAAGTTGTCCTGTGGCTTGATGGCTTCCATAACTGCCTGCTCCCATTGCAGAACTGTCTGAAATAACATTGGAAGGAGTTAAAATGATTCTTGTAAATTTTACAGAAATACCATTAGAAAAAGCTGTATTCTCTATTCTTTCCTATTCAGCAATTTCATACTCTATAAGGCAAATTTCTAGAGAGTAAAACAGACTGATACACCCCCTCTCCCTTACCTGTTCTGCCCATCCCTCTGTTTTGCAGTTACTATGATCAAATTCTTTCAGAGGCACTTTTGAGTGGACCAGGCCTATCTGCATTTGGATCCGCTTAATAACAGCATCAACATCCTGGGGAAAAGAGAAATAAAGCAGTCAGGGGGCAAGAACATTTATTACACTTGTCCCAGTAAACTTAGGTGGATGCTTTTTTACCTTGAGACCTGTGCCAGAAATGTCCAGACAATTCAATTTCTTGAAAGAAAGAAGGTATCCAATTCCCACATCTGTGATTTTAGGGTTACCTGTAAGGTCAAGTAACGTTAACTAGGTTACCTGATGTGGAAAAAGATGATCAGGATACCAAGAAAGTATTTGTTCCAAAAGCTAATACTGAAACAAAGGGGGTTGGCATTTTTGGGTTTTTTTCAGTATGTTTCAAGTCAAAGACTGACTTTCCCCCTCTAATGATCGCAATACAAATACTTACAATACCAAGTCTCATCATATCAAAAATATTTATGGAAGTAGGAAGTGGCTGAGACTCCAGGTATGGCCTGTGCCTTCTGGAAAGTTGTTAGTGGAATCTGGGGTTGAGTACTTGGCTCATGGGAGCCAACAAATTAATTGTGTTCCTTCCATACTAAGCAAGGTAAATTCTGTATCAGAAAGGATACAGGTTGATTCTAATGTGGAACCACGAGGCACTTACAAGACAAGTCTAACACCAGCAGATTCTCCAGCCCCTTTTTCAGCACGCGGACGGGCGCCGTCATCCTGCGAAGGCCGGCGTCTGACAGGGAGTTGTCTTTCAGCAGAAGCTGTTTTACACTGGCAGGGGAGACACAAACATGTAGTTCATGGTCAATATTTTAGATAAATTGGCAAAATGTCTTAAAACTCTGTGTCATCCTGCGCTGACCCTTCGGTCTGCTTTGTTAACATTAGTAAAGAGCAGTAAGAAAGGAGCCTGGGGTAGTGGGACTAACAGATATCCCTGTATTGCCCCTGTTAGCTCAACAGAAGCAGCTCTTCCCAGAGCTCCAGTGACAAACTGATCCTAGAGCCAAACATTTGCTAACAGAGACAATAAGGTTCTTTATACCCTGAAGTTCTTTAAACCACGGCTGCCAAACTCAAATGCACTCAAAACTAAGAAAAATGCTTGGCAAAATGAGAGAGGGCAGATTTGATAAGAGGTACAGCAACGATTTAAAGAAAATAATGAGGTATTATAACACGGATTAACAAAACTCAGGGAAAGACATCACACTAAAACATTCTCCAGAGCATTTCAGGACAAAATCTTGATACAAAAGACACGACAATCTTAGAATAATGCTCCCTAATTAGCAGTCATCCTACCTATTGATTTCCAAATTTTCCTACTCTCCAATCTTCAGTATCAAACAAAATTTAAAATGTTATTGTATTTAGACAATAATTAACAAATATTCAACCTCCTACTTTCAGAAATCTTTTCTCTGGAACACTATTTTTGTTAAAAATTTGGCTGATAAAGTTCCCCCTTAAAAAAAGGAAATGAAAGTGTAAAACTGTTTCAAGGTACTTGGCCAATGAAAATTATAAAAAGTTGATTTAAAAGCATAAGACAGTAAATCATCTTGCATATTTTTAGGCCTTCTTACAATTCAGTACGTGCTTTGAATCATGTGCTTTGTTTACAATACATTCTGTATTTTGTTTACCTCAAGAAAAGGCTTTATGAACAACCAAAATCTTCAACCTTACACACTAGGGCATGTGAAACTTCTCTTTAAAGCCACAGCCTGATTCTTTGAACTGCTTAGTGACAGGAAAGAAAGTGTAATTTTTAGTTCTGTGTCAAGAAATTGGTACCTGGACAGGGCCTCTTTGGTGAGGTGTTCCAGCAGCTCATGTTCATCTCCCAGTTTACAGCAGGAGAGATCCAAACATGTCAGCTCCCGGAAAGATTTAATTTCTTCTAGCTTTTCAGAGATAACCAGGTATCTGCAAAGAGGGAAAAAAAGCTGTCAGTGCTCAGGCATGTCAGAAGGCACCTGTATCCTCATATGTCACAAGCATAATGCAGTTGTTTCTGGTAAGTATCTATGTGAGTATTGACAGAAATTAGCCAGCTGCATTAAGTACCTTTCTATGTGCAGTTGGCACACAACGTCTGAATTCCCAGTATTTTCCTTAAATCAGTGTTAGGGTTTTGCTTTGATCCAAAATATTGGACTAACAAGA